ACCTGGCAGCCTAACAAAAAATGACCAGCAGACAAGGGTCCATCAGAGAGTTTAGCTGATTCCTGTACTGTACCACAACTGCCTCACTGCATACACGCGGAGCTAAACGAGGCCTCTGTTGCACACAATTAATGAACACATCTAGGGGGAGAATCTGTTGTGGGATTGAAAGCCAGAACTGCCTCTTCCCTAGGCCAACTCTGCATCAATAGTGAAAGAAATGGCTTGGGTCCCATCGAGCTGGTGCCAGCAGAGACTCTGTTATATTTAAATCAACATTTGCCACAGCAGGGGATTATCAGATGCTCTACTTAAATGCTGGATCTTCTTTTTTATTTTGATGTTTAACTCATAAAAAAACTGAATTTATTTGGGTTGGGTGCTGATGCCTGCAAGCACAGCTGCTCACCGGCTCTGTTTTTCTTGCTATGTAAATGCATGAGAAGAGGATTTAAAACCTTTTTCCCATCTGCCTGGTGTCAGGATTTGGGTTTTCTTACTCTCTTGCTGCTGTGGCAACGCCCCCCAGAATGCCCCAAACCCTCAGCAACCTCCCAAAGCGGAGATGTGAAGTATTTTCTCACGTTCCCTTCTTCACGGAGGCAAACTCTGGAGATGGGAAACCCTCCAAGAGAGGCTGCAGAGACGGAAACACCGGGCGGGCTACCGGACGACTGCAGACGGCTGGCCTGGACCTGCCCGCGAAGGGCAGGGAGCACGTTCTGGGAGCAGAGCCACCCGCTCCAGCGCTGGTCTGTGCCACCGCGCATCCAGAGGGAGGTGCCCGCCCGGGGGTCGAAAGGGTTTCATCATTTGCTAAGGCTGCGTGAGCTACTCGAAAGGGTAAAACAACAGGCAATCCCTCAGTTACTCAGTTTTCTTGACTGCTGTTGCCACGGGAGGTTTTATTATTAGTAAAATCAGACACGTTCAATAGTACCTCATGCACGAGAGATGGACTTCGGCACCATGAAGAGTACAATCAAATCCTTGGAAAGAGAATGCAGATTTACTGAGATACTCCTTTATATGTCTTTTACTTAAGACCTAGCTGACACAAGCAACTGAAATTTGCTGCTAAATGAATCAAGACAGTGCAATGCATTTCAAAGCAGCATTAAAATCAGTGCTTGCCTCAGCAGGATTTGGTGCTCCTGATTCATGCCTGTAGAACATTAAAGCTGAATTAGAATACTGCCATTCTTTATTTGTAACCCTCCTTGATTGTTTGCTTTCACTAATGTGTTATTCAGCTTAAACACTATTTACTAAAACTGAACTGTATGAGCTGCAGAGCATTGACAATGTCACACAAGCGTCCATTATTTATAAATTAATTTATACAAGCCAAGTTTTAAGTCATATACAGTTTAGCTAAACTATGGATCCAAACCTTCATTCTATATTCTCCTAACTCCTTTCATACATATTGTGTGCGGAAATTAATGCTTATGAGCAAACTAAATCTGGATATTTTCACTGCTACCGGTGCTGAGATATGGAAGCCTTACTCATTCTGGAACAGATGGCAGAAACAGAAATTTCTCCCAACAAAACTAAACTTGATCTAGAGGAATTCTCCTTAGAGAATCTCTCTGTGAGGTCTGGACTTGATCGCTGTGTGAACTCTGTCATCCCCGCCATCCCACCCCAAAACTGAATATATAAATAAAAGGATTAGTACTGAGAGGCACCGCTGGCAGAAATGCTGACTGCGGCGACAGCTCAGGAATTCGCAGGTGTGGAGCCCCAGTGCCACCACTCAGCTAAACACCTTTTCCCGCACAAAAGCTCAGTGAGGGGCTGCCACTGGTGGCACGGGATGGCATAAATGTGCCTGGGAAGTGCTGATGTACCCAGTAACACGCACCTCTGCCGGCCAGGAACTGCCGAGATCCCCGCACGCAGTTTTAAACAAGGAAACATTAGCAGTGGCTAAAATCACTTGGGTGAAAATACTTGAGGAGTGATTAGAAATGTGGAAGGGAATAGCGGGAAAGGCAGGCTCTCCTTCCTGGTAATTCTGAGGAAACTATGATGTCAGTCATCACTAGAAAATATCCCTCCTTTCCACTTCTTACAGGACTAATGACAGGACTTTTCGGATTAAGCTATGGTCTCAATCAAAAACATTTACTTTTAATGCCTCTCTCCTTAGATCCAAGAAATTTTCATCACCTCTAAGCTGCAGAAAAACAATTCCAGAGATGAAGATTTATATTCTTGATAATGGGGCAGGCTTACATAAATAATTGACCTGAATTTAAATTTCATTCCAGTTGTAAAGTGTCTGCCTCTTATTGAGCTGCATTGCATGATTAGAGGTTTGACTATATCAGTCATTTATAGCCATTGTCAGAAATAAATCAGTAGATTAACTTGTGACTATGGCAAGCACAGGAAATGTGTGCTCTTTGAGAAAATAATGTTGCTGAACTTCTGCACTTGATGGAATAAACAAAATCTTCCCAAGGAATCCAGACAGATATTGGCTTGGTAACATGAAAGGGGCTGGAGTCTCCTATCCATTCTGTTTTCAGTTTCCATCTCCAGGTCCACGCAGAGTACGGATTAAACAAACAAACAAACACCACCACCACAATTAGCATCTATTTTGCATCTAATGAAACAGAAGACAGGCTTCTTTGTCTGCAGTTATTTCAAGCCTTATGTTTTCATCTAGGGCTTCATCCAAACTCTAATGAAATAAATTCTTGGATCAGAACCCTAGATTCGATGCCAGCACTGGGTTTTGAAACCTTCTACACTTCTCAGTACCCACAAAACAATTTCTGAGCAAGACGTACTGGCTATCTCTGTTATTTCTCACCCACATGTTTAATAGGACAGGTCATCTTTAACTTGAAAATACCAAAAGAGTTTATAACGTCAAGCTTACAGCCACAGACCAGAGCCGTTACTCATTTGAATCTGGTACCCAGTTTCTAAAGGCACCAATTTATTTCCAGTAGACTGTTAACCTTGATGAGGATAGAATTAGCCTTGCATCCTGAGCCTTTATGTGAAATTTTATTGTCCAAAGCAAATATGACCTGTTAAGATTTACAGGCTTTATTAGCAGCAATAACAATTTTACAATCAACATCAGTAAATCAGGGTTTATCGAGAACTCTACAATTTTTTTCTGTAGAAAGCAATTAAAACGTCAGTTTTTCATTGGATATAACTCCTACCTTCCATAAAAGACAGATATCCTGTTTAATTGTTGAGTGTAAAGCCATGTAGTTCAAATAATTCTAAAATTCTCAGTAAAATTCAAAGTGTGTCGACTGAGAATCACCATTTTTTCCCACATGGCTGAATTTCAACACAAATAGCACTTTTGGCTATTTAACTATACAGAAATATGAAAACAGTCGAATATATGCAATCAGTTCAGCAAACCATACTTGCTGGATATAAGTGTACCTCTCGTAATTTGTTTCTTTTGGTCTCAAAGAGAACATATAGATTTTATACAGTTTTTTGTTTGAAACCTTTTTGCTCAAGTTTAAATACTGTATTTTTAGAATCAGTAACAAAACTGAACTGACATACCTGGTCACATACTCTTCAGACTATGAAAGCAGTCTGAGAAACAGGGGGGATAAGCACTCAGAAAACCTGATTTAGCAGAGCACACGGAGGGAACAGGTCCCTGAGGTTGCCAACGGGTGGCTCTGGGGAGTCTCCGCAGGCAGGGCTTTCCATCCCTTCTGCAGAGAGGACTGCCAAGGAACCCCTCACAGACCAAGGGTGCTTAGGCAATTACACTTTGGAAGGCTGCTTTGTCTATCATAGAGTTATGTTTACCAGAATACTCATTTCAATAATTTTGGCAATTCTCCGTAATGCAGTGTCCACTTTTTTTAAGTAACACTAAACATGAGTAAAAGTAACATACAACTGAGGAGAATGTAGTAGCAGGCATTGTAATGACGGAGTAATGCACGTTAGATACCTAGATACAAATTCATCTGCTCACCGTTCTTATTTCTAGCTCATTTTGCTTTTGGTCTTTAACACTCCTACCTGGTTTTCGGTGTCTTTTGCACCCCAGTTTGCTGCATTTCTCCTCTCTTTATTTCCAATGGCTCCTGCTCAACATGGTTCTCCTTAACTAAAAGGCCACGTGTTTCTTTGGAGTTTATTTTACCTTGCTTCTTTCTTTCCCTCAATTAGAACGTACCACAGCAACGGTGGAGAGAAGCGCAAAAATAACTTCTGAGTGATACTATTTGTCTTACTCATCAAAAGATGCTAAAGAGCACACTGCGGAGGGTGCTGGTAGAAAGGCAGCTCAGTGTTTCGGGGGCTGCAGCCCCCCAGGTGCACCCGAGGTTTGAACTCCTGAGCTCAGCCTCGCCACGGCAGCAGCGGCTCCAGCCTACCGCCGCCACTCTGCCGACAGCGAGAACGGCGCGATGCCGCCTGCCACCTTCACATCAGCTTTTTCCTTTTCTTTAATGCCTCCCTAGCAGATTTTTAAACACAACCCACTTAGAACATCTTCCTCGAAGAATAGTCTGGCTATTATCTTTTTAAGGCATCCTCATTAGTTTCCTGTTAAGATTCAACTCTCTGGACAAAAAGCATGTTTAAAGCTAAGCGAAAAAACCCGCAAATTATTATTTGCAGCAGATTTTCTCTCAGAAGCAGCAATTTGTCATAATATTTTTAGGATCTTTTTCTTTATTTTTCAATGAGAAAAGTAATTTCTGAGAAAATAAGTAACAATCTGTTCTCAGTTTGTAAGCATAAAACTTGAGAAATGTATCAAACCCAGGATTTTTTCAGCAAACATTCCTGAATTCTGATAAAAAGCCGTACTTTTTTAAAAACTTATATAATCAAAAAAAATACATATTTAAAGCAGTCTGTGAGAGAAGAACGCTGTAAGCAACACTGAACCTCGAGAAGCACGGGGTAGCTAAGCCCTCTCTGGTTCTCTGCTCGCCTCCCCCCCGCCCCGGAGGCAGCGGCACCGCACAAAGCCTCACCTCAGCTGCGGGGACTCCCTCGGGTGGCCGACAGTGGAGAACGATCATCCCTTCGATTGGAACCTCCTTCCCTTGCGGGTCTTGCTCAAAGTTTTTCCGTAAATCTGCAGAGTTTAATGCAATAATTCATTACACCTCCAGACACCATTCCTCCCCAAACCGTACCGTCTGCGCTGCAGAAGTGAGCAACAACGCCGCTTTGCCATATTTTTCTCTTAAGCGTGTGTGTAAAGCAATATTGGGTCAACTGAGAGCGACCAGTTCTTCCCTAGATGAGAGGCAAAGGGATCCAATCACCTTTAGTTGTGTTTCTACTTCTCCACCTTTAAGGAACAATCTGTGTGTGACTACAGAGATAACCTCTTCTCGAACCCACAAACTCTGCAGTTCCAGGTGTGCACTCAGTCCCCCCGGCCACTGCCTCTCCAAACCAGGAGAATTAAATGCCGAACAGCATGGTATTGCCAGGGTGCTGTGAGAACCGACTGAGTGACTCCAAGACCGGCTGAATGATTTCCCTAGTACGTGCTACTTCAGATGAGTGCCAGGGTATTTTATAAAATGTTCTAAGCTCGATGTTTTGTCTGGATCGCCTACATCCCGCAAGCTGTAGGGAAAGGAATGAAAGGACCCAGAGCAATTCCGCACATTCCAAACTGGCTGATTACAAGATTACTTCATTTCAGATACTGTGGCCCAGCTAATTATTCAGGGTAAGAAGCAGGGCATCAGAGTCACACCGACGTGGCCGCAACACTTCTGTGTACAAGTGTCTGGGTAAACCAGAACAGACACAAAGGCGACCTGTCTCCAGCGACACTGGCCTAACCCAGATATGCCCACAAATATGTAGAGTTTTGGTTGCTGTGAAAGGAAAAAACAAAACGGAAGGAGTATTACTTACTACATGTGCTTTCAGAGTTAGGATGTTTCCATTAGACATACTCATTTTCTTCAAACAGTGTCTCAGATTCCACAGTGTGGATTTACTGATTTAATTTTCTCCATTGCTTACACTTCATGAAATACACCCCCTTAAACAGCAGAGGCTCTGAATCAGTTACATTTTAATATAATTTATAAAATACATTAAGACTTATTTTAGCAAGCCGGTCACTAGAGAAAGATGCACACAGTGCATATATTCTCCTTTTTATGATTCTTTGTTAATGTTGACTTTTTTTCCCCACAGATCACCAGTATCTTTTCCAGTAGTCTATTTAAAAAGTCATTCATTAACAGTTAGGCTGCAGTTGTGCCTACAAATGCCTTTATTAGGATGAAAAATGGAGTAAGATCCATCTTCACATTTACTATGTGTTCCCCACTATCATAAAGAAATACCTACCTGCTTCTTCCGAGAAATATGAAGTGCTGTAACGCTTTGGACTTGACTCACTATTCAGAATCTCTAGGCTTTAAGTGCAAAAAAGAAAAAAAAGAAAAAAGGAAGGAAGGAAGGAAGGCAAGTCTACACTACCACACTACGCAGCCCAATGACAGGTGCTGTGAAAAAACTATGGATTCTGTCTGTTATCACAAATCGGACCTGCCCAGTCTCATCTCTAGTCCTCTAGAGGGTATTCCCTCGAGCCATAATCCACGCCCCAAACGAGGTAGCTCGACTGTTCACCACAGACAGGCTGGCACAGGATGAAAGGGTGAGCCCTGGAAGCTCAGGGTGGGTGGTGGCTTACAGACATCTGTTGGCACAGCTCATTTTTCCTGTAGCGTACTAGCAAGTCCCATCACCTCTGCACTCAAGAATTACTGTTCTTTTCCTAAAAACCCATGGCTTCCAGTAAGAGCAGCAGCAAATGGCCGGTGCAGGACCCCAGTTCTCAGGCGAAGTGTCCAGCCACACTCGCACGTGACCCAAAGCAGAAGTGAAGAGCGCGCTCTGGAGTGAGTATCTGCGCTTACGGATGGCAGCTGGGGAGGTGGTTTGCAGAGCTGGTACCACAGTGATGGGTTGAAAAGTCCCAACACACGGCTTCACCTGCTTCTGCTCATTCTGATTTTTACTCATATTGCCATATTATGGGGTTGGGAAATCACAGTGCAGAGAAAAGTCAATAAAAATTCAATTCAGAATAATAGTCCTTTGCAGCTTAGCAATGCAGGGGAATTATTAGTTCATTCAGCGTTATGATAACTAATGCAGTAAAATAAAAAATTGAATTTACACTTATTTACACATTAAAACTAAATCAGCCAACAAAAAAATCTGTCACTTCTAAAGTCAAGGAGTGTTACATTTTCTTATTACTCTCTCAAATGTTTATTTTAAGTTATACTGTTAAAAGAGCATAATTTTAGAAAGATCTATCAAGAAATGCTAGAACACTCCTGACAAAGCTACCAGTTCTTGCTTGAACCTCCCCAACCCATTCCTCCTGCCCCTCATCTCCACCCCAGAAGCACTGCTCCCAGCGCTTTCCAGGCTGCTGCCACCATTTCCCGGGTCAAGGTCTTTAAAGACCTGAACTGGTGATTTAAAGGAAAAGGGTTCACAACAGATTAGGGGAAAGTCATCTCCCGAGTTCCCTGCTAGCAGCATTGCTGCAAAAGGGTGGTTTGGGGCTCTAATTCGGTTAGAAAAATGCAGCAGATCTAATTGCAAGGTAAAGATTGGACGAGGCTTTGAGTATCTCCACAGTCTCATAGTAATAACTGTATTTGGGTTCTTCCTTTTTTATGTCCCTCTTGCTGTGATGGCATTTATTGGATTTTCCATTTTTTGTGTCTTTCAAATAATGATCTGTTGATTGTGAGCTGTAACACTACAGCACACTATTTCAGATATGAAAAACAGAGATAAACTCAGTCTGAACCCTTCCCATCTGGAGACAATGGTTGTCCTCTGCTACCCACTGTATTAAAAATTCCAGAATGAGTCTTTTATGCTAAAAGAAATTAAACCAAACAATCCCCTTTCCCCCATAACACTTAACTAATCTACAGCGTTGTTATTTAAAACTTAGCATTTGTCAGCCTACAAAACCAGAATTATGCCCTTTGTTTAAAGTAGGAAGTAATGATGCCCCCTAAGCAAACAGTGACAGCAACCACCGTAACCACGTGGCCTTCTTCAGAATTACCACTGGTAGCGACTCTGTCCCTGCTTGCTGCGACTTAGGAAGACACACATTTTAACTGAATAATTCACAGTTCTGTACAGTGGAATTCCTTTCTAAACCCATTATGGCGAGCAGCAAGCAGACAGAACAATTTATAAGTAGCTTAACAACACGGTGTAACTATGTAGGGTTCAAGTTCTTGATCCTGGATGTCACACCATGTGGCTCGGTAGGTCATGCAACGGGCTCCAAAGCCAAAGCATAAATAAGGCCCTGCAGCAAGCCCATGAAAATGCAGATGTTAGCACCTGGGAACACACAACCAGCCTCCAAATCCATTCCCTTCCCCCTCTAGCAAGTTTAGGTCACGACGGGGACGGCAGTGAGGTGGGATCATCCCCCCAGGCAGACGCGGATGGCGAGGACTGCGATCCGCCCTTCCCACCCTACAGGGGCTGACCCTCTGGGTAAGGTCCCCACCACGGGAGCACCTGCTGGGCTCGTCACTTCTGCCTTACAGCACAGGCGGCCGGCTGGCTTTGAGGAGCTGGTGTCTGATTTTCCAGTCCAGGGAGGACATGCAAGAGCAGTACTTTCACCTTGTTACAAGGAGCAAGTTTTTCCTAAGCTTCTTTAACCTGAGTGACTGATTCAACCACCTGATCTACATTTCACATCAACTACATAGCTAAGAAGTGGAAGACTACCCACCTTGCATAAGAATGATTTTATTATTTTTAGTAGTGGCTCTTATAAACGTCTATACAAATAGCATTTAAGATTCTTTTTTTCTAAACAACATATGCTTTGTCCCATAGAGAAATGACAGAACTTCTGTAGCACTCTTAGTTCCCTTTACCATGTTTGTGTCTCATTTATTCAGAGAAAGGAAGGAAGATATTTTTTCCTCTGCTCATTTGAATTATTCCATTTTTCCTATTTTTATCTCATTTTCTCCACAGCTTATCATACCTGATGACCAATGATATGCTTCAATATTGAAAACCATATTTAAAATACTATGCCACAAAAGCTTCTAAAGTATTCTTGCATTATTTTATACAAAGTGTAGAAGACAGACATTGTTAAACAGTTTTTCATATTTTTCAGACCCCTGTAATCAACATGGAGCACAAGGGGACTTTTCAGGTGATTTTCTACTTGCATTAACCTTTTTTATTACATTGTGTTGTTGTGATGCTGTACACATGAAATCCAGAATCTCTGGAACAGACCTGCTGAGTGTAAATACAAATCAATCAATCCACATTAAAATAAAAGAAGGCTCTGGGAAAAAAAAAAAAAAAAAAAAAAGCATAGCATGCTTTCTGTGATATTCCTATAGTATCTCACAGGGGGGGGCTTGCAAAGACAGCAGTACCTTACAGGTATCCATTTATATTTAACCGTAAAGAACAGTAGGTTTCCGTATCTTACAAAACCTAGAATAGCAGAACATTTACTCACAAGCTATGCGGACAGACGCTTTCCTACTCTTTGACGTCCCTAAATGGCTCCATGCAACACACTGACACCAGTAATCTTCTGGCCCATGAAAATCTTCCACCTGCTGCCTCGTCACATTGATGAACACCTCTCGAACTTTCAATCCTGAAGGAGAAAGATACAGGAAAATTAGCTAATATAGGCTATTTTACTCAGGCATAAAGCTAAGGTTAGCAAAACCTTTTCTTTTAATTAAACAATTCCATTTTTAATCAAGGTAAGGCTTTAATTACTTTGACAATAATATATTGCCACTAATTAAATTCTAAAGGCTGAGTAGGTCATAATGCACTGAGTTACAAGAATAAGCCATCAACTCTGGTCTCTGCAAGATTATAACGCCTCCCTCAAAAACCTGGTCTCCTGCGCCTTTTTCACCCAGAATGTTTATCTGGAATCTTGTAATATAACACACATTAAAATTGTCTTCCAATCTAACATCTCAGTGCCCTTGAAAACCTTTCTGAAGCACCCTGATCGGCCCCCCATCAAGTCAAAGAGCCAGAACTGTACACGTGCGACGGGAACTAATCAAACGCCCCGCTGAATTCCTGCCTGCTCCTGCCACCACGGCCGCAGCTCCAGCCAGCTGCCGTCTCCTCGTGGGACAGAGCGAAGCTGTGTCTAACTGCAGCATCGAGAAAGCTGAGTGCAAGCCATTACAGCCTGGAAGGAGGAGGAGAAAAAGAGAGGGAACTAAATTTCACAGCTGACAAGTGGAGATGGTCCTCTTTGCCACCCTCTCCTTCTGGGAAGCAAGTGAACCAGCTACAAAACTGAAGCCGTGCCTTTCTTAACTTCCGCAAACAGAAGTGTTTAATAACATTAGAGAGATACCTTGCTTTTTTTTTATGTTTTCCCAAAGTATAACCTTGCTAAATTCACCTGCAGTGGAACGTTCCTGTTGTCTGCTGCAAATCTGCTTGCTATCAAAATGAATGCACACCTCTGTCCTGAGGTAGGAACCAGTTATGCCTAAAGAGCTGAGAAAAGGATCTAAGGGAGTAACGAAGGCTAGCCAGGAATAAAGATGGGAAAAGCCCTGTGCTTTTCCTCAGCCTGCTACCATTTTCATAACTTCCTGGGCACAGATGAAATTTAGTAGTTTTGCCCTTCAGACCAGAAGGCATTTGCTTCAGACAGAGTTTGAAGGTAAATACAAAACATCAAGAAGCCTTGTAAACCTGATACCTTATTTTATACACTTGAGATGTTTGACATATCTGTAACTACCTTTGCATGACAACCTCGGGGAGAGGAAATATAATCCAAATCTGGGTTAAAAGGCATTAGGAATCATTTGAAAGAGCTAGTCAGAAAAACATTAATTTGAAAATAGAAAACATTCATGCCTACTACTTTCTTCTTTCTCCTCCTGTGCAGTCCCAAGATACTTATTTCCCCTTCACTGGAAATGAATGAAAACTCGATCTTAAAATATTCCATGCCTGTGAAGTTTATAAAGCAGCAAGAAATTTCTAAACCTGAACTCCATAAAAATTGGCTTCCACTTATTCTCAGGCATCATTAACAGCTGGGTATTTCACTTCTGAGAGGCACTAGGAAGTCAACTTGTTCCTTTGGTAAACAGGAGAGACGAGGCCCCATGGGGATGCTCACTGAGGAGGGGCGGGGAAGGTCAGACAAGCTTTTAATACTATAAAGAAATACAAAATTTTTGCTACTTTTCCAGCAACAGGCAAAGGGGATTTTTACTTCTTTTCATTTAGCCTGTTTGGCTTGCCGTATTTCACAATGATACCTAAAGACATGGACAAACCTGCAATAGCTTCCTAAGTTGTCTCAATAATGGTTGTAGTCACTCAAATATTTATTCACTCTGTAATAAACAAACAGAGGTTTCCTGGTTGTTTTTATTTGCATTTTGTTTTTTAAAATATGTTGACTCAGTTTTCAACAAAACTGTTTACAAAACATTTCCTTATTTTCTGCCATGGTGAAAACAAGCCCTTATGAAATAAACGTGGCACATGGGGCTCAGCAGTTCTGCAGAGCCCCCTCGCCTTGCTGACACACTGACTGCAGGACGCAAGATGAACGTGCACCAACTCAACTCAACCATCCCAGCGGCTCTGCCCGCGCTGAATCCTTGGCTTCTCAGTCATGCAACCAGTTCCTGGAGTGACCTTCAGAGGTTACAGGCAGGAGCAGCCACAGTAAGTTCCATCAGAGAGCACCTGGGTCCTGGTGCTGAGTCCCGACACGGCAGGTCTTGGCTGGCTGGAGATTTGGCATCTCACCATGCTACATGGCACTGACATACAGGTCATGTATGAGAACTGCATGTTGTACAGCTTACTGGTGCATGCATGCTAACAGTGACAGAATCTTTACTGATACCAAGAAAACCCCATCATCACATGATGATGATTTTTTTTTTTTTTTTGAAAGCAGAATCCTTATCTAGCCTCACTGGTCCTGTAAAATTCTGAGCAGTCCTCAGCAAATACAGGATTTACAGCTTCAGATTTATTAAGGAAGAATATTCTCCAGTCCAGCTCTTCCTTTCATTGACACATTATTTAATTAATCTATATATCAGCCTGTATTTTCTGAAGCAACATTTAATGTGGTTTGAATCAGGCAAACAAACACCACATGTTGTTGAGAAGCTGGTGGTTCAGCATTTTGAGAATGGGACAGGTAGGAATTCAGGCCCATTTAAAGGTCTCCCAATTTGCCAATAGACAAAATAAATGCATTCAAAATAGCAGAATCACAGAATTGTTGAGGCTGGAAGGGACCTCTGGAGAACATCTAGTCTTTGGGGAAAGTTATGTTTTGTTTATGGAGAAAGTACACTTATTTTCATTAGTTTTAGAAACAACTACAGAAAGCAAACCTACTGGGAACAGAGGCATATATTCTTCATTTATCATCACTATATTTCACCAACAAATATACTCACCTACCTTCTGCATCTCAAAAAACTCCAGAAAAATTGTTCACAGGAAATGACACAGAATGAAAAATCCATGCAAATAAAAACAGACACATAATAAACAAGAGCAACATTTTACCTGTGACTTGTATAACTCTAACAAGCACTGCAAGTCCAACCCTTTAAATTATTGTGCAAATTATAACCATCATCTTTTGTTATACAGTACAGCCTTACAGAATATAAAATTATGACTATGGTACTGATATGCTAATAAGCTTTCTGCGCTGTTGGATGGTTTAGCTGCAGATAGACTAATGCTGGCAGCAGATGAATAATTGCTCTCCATGTACTAAACATAACAGAGCTGCACAGAACTTCAGCATTTGTCAGCTTTATTTGTTTAAATGAGAAAAACACTGACAGCAGTTATTGCTGTAATCCTCTTATTTATCAGACAGGAAAACTCTAGTTACTCTTAGCAGGTCTCATCCTCTGGTGAAACCAAAAGTTGAAATATTTGTAAACTAATTCTGAGGTGCATGCTGCAACGTTCAGGCAAGAAAAATAGAAAGCAGAAGGAAATTAATCAAACTGTAGCATCTTCTAGCCGAGGCTCTCGCTTTATGAGGCAGAGTAGAGAGAGAAAAGTTCCTGTTCTGCCACGTTTATGGAATAGACAGAAGAGGCAGACTAGGGATTCCTATCTTTTCTGCAATTCAGGAAATAAAGCGGGAGAGGATGAACTAACTCCTTCTCTCGGTGACCAACCGCCGGCAGCAGCGCAGAGGCGGGAGCCTGTAGCCATCGCAGCTGCCGCACGTGGCGGTTTGCCTGCGCTGGTTTTCTGCAGCACCAGCAGCAAACGCACGGCAGCAAAGACATCGGTGCAAACTCCTCAAGGGCCTCTGACACCCTCAGGCAGCCCACAACTACGGAGCTTAGAAAACTACAAAAATCCTTCCCTCTCCTGCTGCTCCTCCTCTTCAAATTCACAGCGACTCCTGTGTTACTCGAAGAATTTTATTTCTATCCTACAAACCGAAAATCATGCAAAATTGGATTCCCTGTTCATCGCAATGACAAAATACATTCATTATCTATCAGCAGCTGTCCTTCCCGTCCTTTTACACGCACACAATACAGCGCTGTAGGTAAAATCCATCACAACAGTGCGCCTTCAAGTGCCACTGCCAAGTACTTCTTGCATATGCCTGGCTAAGAGCTTGCTGGCAGGAATTTGTAAAGATGCTAAGATATATTTCTTGTATTCAACTCTAATTTGCCTCTTATTTGGGTTTCTTGCTGCTATTTTTCACCGTTTTTCTATACATCTCAGAATTTTAATCACATAACAAACAGTAGAAGGATGGAGGAGGACTGACCCATTTTAATGGAGTGTAACCCCCCCTCGGTGAGCACACCAGAATCACACCCTTTAACCACAGGCACCATTCCTGGCGTAAGTTCTAGTGCAGTTTTTCACAGATGGAGCCCACGCAGCATGCAAAACACTGTGCATGCTTGGTAACAGACATGTTTATGCCCCAGATTTGACTCCAGAAATGAGGGCATTGCCTGTATGCACATTAATTCTAAAAAAACCCAATAGTCTGCTGTTTACTGAAGGCTAAGGAAGAGTTCCAAAATAATTTATGGATATGGATGCATCGTGGTGAGAGACAATCCATGCCTGTCCTTCATCATCATGCCATATGTAGTCTTTTACTTACATTTTTGTGCCCTGAGGACCATTGTGGTAGTTTTTGGAACACACAGACCAACTGCACTGTCTGGACACGCTTACGTTTAGCGGACAATACTTACAAGTTTAGCTCTGTCCCTGGACTAAGTTCAAACCTTCACCTTTTCTATTCCAGATCCCATTTGCTAAGCCATAGCCTCCATGTCTCAAACCTCAATGTTTCTGGTGTTATTTCAAAAAACCACCTAATGTTACTTTATCTTTTTTTATTCTGTTATTAATCCAAGGCTTAGAAAACATAATTGCAGTATTCACAAGACAGATTTTCATTAACCATATGGAAGAAAAACATTTAGGGACGACATTTCTTCTATATTGATTCAGCAATGCCTTTAGAAGTAAAGGTTATGCCTATTAAATTATTTTCGAAAAGGTAACTGTAAAAATTAAAATTCATCCAGATTAGCATTTACAAAAAGCCTTCAGTATGAAATTTCTTCAGAATGTGTCACTTAAAAAGAATGCCAAACACCACTTTAGGAGATGTAACTTCTTTTTAAATAGCATTTTTTCCTCTGAAAAGGAATTTCTTGTATTGATAGGGAGGATGTTATGCATACACTGCTATTTCCAAGTCATGGAGTTGCCTAGCAATCTTGGAATTTAGAAAGAGGAGAAAAGCAATAACAAAACAGAATTGTGAAATTAAAGGACAGTGCAGCATTAAATTGGTTTGCAATACTTATCAAGATGCTTCTAAATGAGAAAAGATAGAGGGTGTGCTGGGAGCATGATAAAATCTGTTGATCATTTTCAACTTGCTCCCTTCTCATTCTCTTCTTTTAGATACACACTCTTCCACAATAGATTTCTCCTACTTAACTTTATTACCTACCAAATACCTATCACTGCTTGGGGGTGAAGGCAAATTTCAAGCACCACACTGGTGGCTCTTCAGGGTTCATCCTGAATGGAATTTCATAAAAGCCTGTGTTTCCCTGTTTCTAGTTCCCACTACAAAATTCACCACTGAAATACGGAGAACTACAGAACTGTTCCTTTCTTTCAGAAATCTGTCTATAGTTAGTGTTTGATCAGGCCCTAAGACTCCACTCGGAAAAGCTGGCGGTGCGCATCCAGTTCGTTACTGTCTCTGTGTAACACCTCCTACACCTACAGTCACTTTAACTCCCCGTGTTTTCCCCAGGATTTGTATTCCCCGTTTCTGCCTGTCCGAAATGTCCCTTCCTTACCCTCTTCCACCCACTGCTCTCCTTTGGCGTTTTGGGAAACTGCCCCCGCTCCCTCTGCGAAGCCGTGCCAACAGGGCACTCCGCCGGCAGACAGGACCTGGCTTTCCCAACACGCCAAGCCAAGCGAACCACGCTGCTGCAGCAGCCCAGCAATAAGCTCACGCTGGGACACGGCGCCCTCCTACCTCAGCTTACAGGCTGTGCTCAGGGCAGAGCCAACATCGTCCTGGGGCTTCTGAATTAGAGCCAGCTCCCGCTCCCTGGGCTCCGCGCAAGCCTGCAGCCACCCGCGAAGTCACACAACTGCCCTGTCTGCGGACCTCGGGACGTCACCTCCTGCTCCTTGCTCTGGTTTGTGTGTTGTCCATAGACACTGCGTTCGCAACTGCCTCCCGAAGGCCACGTTAGCCCTTACCTGTAGTCTCATCCATGCTTTCCTCAGACACGTGCTCATTTTGATGGACCCATTCACCATTGCACTTGAAGAAAATCTGCATAGCTGGCATAGCTTTACAGCGTAAGACAATGGGGTTGCTTTTTATAATGTAGGCATCATCTGGCTCCTCCATAAAATGAGGCAGTGTTCCAGGAGCAGATGGGATAGACTCTGGAAGGGCCTCACTGTTATCATTTCCTGAAAAGGAAGGAAAGGAAAATACACATTTTTCATGTTGTTGCACCCTTTGTATCATCTCATTTAATTGATTAAATACCATTTTGGATGTAAGAACTGTCAAGAAAATTGACAGAAAAGAAGCATCAGAATCATCATAAAACTGCATCATCGCTACAGCCAATTTTACAGATGGGGAACTGAGGCACAGAAAGATTAAATGAGTCACCTAAGGTCATACTGAAAGTCTGTGGAAGAAGTAGAAACTAAACCTTATTCCCCTGAGTGACAGCCCAGTGCCTTAACTACCAAATCTTCCTTTCTTCCATGGAATTTTATTTCCTTTAGACATTTGCAGCAGATTTAACGGGGATCAGAGTGCTAACCACAGAGAAATATATTGATATGAACAGCATTACTGTAGCACTCCAACACTGGAATAAGTAAACTGTGATTTCATACCCACTTAGAGGAAATTTTCAATATGCTTTTACACTGTTCCCATTTACTGCAGCCTCTTTAAGGTGATATAAAAATGGAAAAGTGGTTTCTGTAGGGCCAGAAACTGCAAGATAGTGAGCTTTCTCAGCTTATATCACAGACAGTACAATCCAAGGGCATTAATTCAGTAATGTATAAGCCTAGGTGTCTTATTTTCTGAATTCCTGTGCTTCGACATGAACATAGAAGCACTGGAATACAAGCTTTTCCTCTACTACAACTCTTTTAATTGAGTCAAATCCTAGTCGCTGCTGTCAAAACCAGGAAATTCCCATTGATTTTTAGCAATGCTGGGATTTATTTCAGTAGTTGGTCAGTTCTGTGAGAAAACTCAAGAGGACAACAAAAATAAGTCAGAAGGGATCAATTTATGAAGGAAGATTAGAAAGTACTGAATACATACAGTGTAGGCAAATGATAACAGAGGAGGACATAGTCTATCTGCAGATGAAGTGAACACAGTACCAGAGAAAGAGGAATAGCTGAGGGCAATATAGATGTGATTTAACTAACACCAGTGAAATTAAGTTAGAGGAAAGGGAAGTTATGATGATATGAAATAAGTCTAAAAACCTTCACAGGTCTAGTAGATTACGGAATAATGAGAACGTACTTTGTCTTTACTTCTATTAAAGATTGGTATCTCTCACCCGCTACTCACTATACCCGTGTGTGCAAATATAAACCATAGATGTGCTGTGAGATCAAATGAGCTCAGTGGCTTAAACCACATTCACAGTGTACTTTATAAAATATTATCATAATTTTTAGCATTTTACTACTGAACATTTATGCCAATCTTCATCTTGTCAATCTTCAGTAATACTGCATCCCTGCAGGCTTTATGAAATCCATGCTTTAAAGGAAATAACAAAAATGTTATTATAAGATTTTGGAGAGGCTTGGAAACCCATGCTCCCACCAATGCTTTGAGTGCTTCGTAAGGCAGCAACCTGCCTGTGTTGAGGAAGAATAGCGGACAATTTTATAAGGAGCATTCAGCTAGAGAACTTAGAATGACCCATTGTTATTTCACTAACTTTGCTATTTAGGGCAAGACACAAAGGATGAGATCCCAGCCCTGCTGAAATTGAGGGCACAATTCTCCTCGCAAGTGGCATCCAGGCTTTACATTCCTGTTACGTGTTACTGATGAGCATTGGATGTATGGCATTTTATAAGCCAGACAAAATTCTGGCCAGAATTTAGTTCACTGAGTAGAAGTTCACACAACTGTTAGCAGAGGTAAGCAAAGCAACTCGTTACCCTTCCTGCGTGAGGTCAGGCTGGAAGGCAACTCTGCGCCTGTAAGAAAATTCACACAGGATCTGCATTCCTTGCTTTTTGTTTCTGGAGATAGTACTTTTCTCCATGTGGCTACCTAATCAGACAGGGACTGCAATGCACCCATTTAATGTGTTGCAATATCCAGAATTTTGCATCGTAACTATTTAGTGCAATTTAGGATACACAAGACATACTTTACTAGTCCCTTTATCGTGCTTAAACAGAAGAGTCACACGGCAATATTTCAGATACATTAAAATAAATACCCTTCTGCATTTAAATGTCAGACTCTAACCCTAATTAGGATGACATTTCCTGCCATGCACACTGAAAAAAACTTTGATGATTAAACAAGTTGCAGTGTCTACCACTCCCTGGGACAGGAACAGGTATGATCACACCCTGAACAAGTGCTGCTGTCTACTTAACCACAGCTACAACGGGAATTTTATGGGTGAATTGAGAATGCATACTCACGTCCGTTTTCAACAGTTTACTGACACGAAGAGTGAAGTTAGATTAACAAGTCAGGTATTTTTTTTCCTTCACTTTCAAAGGCCACCCTTTTCTTTACTCTTTCCCACCACCCCACCCCACCCCACCCCCCTTCTACCCTGCATCTTCTACTAGCAAGGACTCCTTTCTAGCCTTGGAGTCTTTCCAGCTTCTATCCCAAAGCTCTATGTTCTTACTAATCTGTGTAAGCGAAGTTTGTCATGCTAAAGAAAGGACAGACTCATATAGAACTTCTCTCTGTGAGGGTTCTCGGAGTACTTTACAAATCATAAAACCACAGAATTAACTAGAAGACTTTTCCTTAGCAGAAATATATTTATGCTTCACACACTACCTTCTCAAACACCTATACAGCAAATAACTGCACTTATAAACAATCAACATTCTGATCTCTGAAATGTTCCTGTTTAAAGTACATCAATTAGTAGAAAACAATTTAGCACTCGGATAAGCTATCCACCGTGAGATACTTACACATTCATTGACAGTCATCTGAATCAGTGGTATTCTGTAATGCCCTTAAATTTCTTTGGTAACAAACATTGGTAAGATGTACTTTCTCTTCTGGTATTATCTACCAGATCAGACTCCATATGTGCATGCAGGTGTGACAGAACTGAAAAACTTCAATTTTCTTGATCTAGGAGACACTACTCCGATTCCTCTAGTTGATATGTCACAGTAAACCTAAAATAACTCGTTCTAGTACAGTGACGTTCTTTCAACCATACTACAGAATCAGTAAAATTCGAGTTTGCTACATCCTTCTCCCTGTATTTTTGCAACTGTTAGAGGGTGACTTCTGACATACTGGTACCGCTCTGTACTGACGATCACTTTTCCAAGTTGATGAGCCATTTCCTCAAGACCACAGCGACAACTGGTCTCATTATTTCAAACTGCATTGTCTAGCTCACTGCTGTATCTTGATGCTACACAAACCAGAGGTCATGCAACAGACTTGTACAGGCTTCAGGGGAGGGTAACATTACGTGCACAAAGAGACTAAAAAAGGAGCATTTGGCCCAAAACCTATACATATTTCACATTCGAGTCCTAAGCAATTTGGCTACTGCAATAGATAGCAAAGTGAGATTACAGAAATTGTTATGAGGCGTTTCAGTTCTCTGTAAAAACAATCTAGAAGTACTTAGCTGAAACAGGAAGATGTATTGAGCCAGACAAACCTCTATCACACAAATCGCCTCCCTTCCTGATCACCTGAACTGAATGTAATTCATTGTTTCACAAGGATGCTCCTTGAAGGAATGCTACAGAATCCAAGCATTCCAGAATATATAAAATAGAGACACCATATTTACATCTCTATGACTATATATATACACGTAGACACAATTAAATATGTAAATCACAGGAGCCGTCACAGATCTTAATCACATCAGTGCTGACAGATAAACTGTAGGAAGAGAACACCTAGAGACTGATGTGCTGACATTCCAAGAAACAGATACAGCCCATTCTTAATCAAGTAGAACAAATCCCACGGTCAAGTCCTAATAAATATTATTTAGGCGGCTATTACTGATGTTATAAATATACATGTATTTCAGGATGAGTAGTATTTTAGCCAAGGTAACTACAGCGGCTGAGGACCACCGCAAAGCCTCTCCTAAAGGGCACTTAATACTTGGAATTTTAACTTAACGCATCTTTCTTTTGTGCACCATCTTTTTTTGTACCCTAACTTGCATTCAAATTCATCGGAAGGCCTACTGGAACTTTGTAAAGTTTTTGATTTTTTTTTTCCCCTTTCTTTTTTTCAGTTATAACTGTCAGTTTTCAAGATTCAGGCCATTCATAGTTATAGAAAAATGGCTGTTTTAATGCAACAGTGAATGACAGAAGACCAAACTATCAAACACAATTCTTGTATTTTTCATTCCTGGAAAATTACCTTTCAGGAAGTGCTTTGTGTTTTATGTTCTACACACTAGTCCAATAGGGACTTTAAATCTTTTTATGACAATAATAGAAACAAAAAAGAAAGGAGAAGGAAAAAAAGTTAGGAACAAACACTGAATTCTTCTATGAAATAAATATACTGCTGTTAGCTGTCAGATCACATTAGAAGATCTTGATAGCAGCAGACATGAATCCTTCGGTATTTCAAAACTGATTAGGACATAATTTAGATGTTAAAGTGATATTTTAATAAAAAAAAACATGAGTTCTAAACCCTTATTTCTCAAATTAAGAATTATTTAAAGTAAGTGGCATTACTTTCCATATCTTTTGGTAACAATCATCCTCACTACGACATCCCCTAATAGTACTCATCATGGAAGATTCCATTATTATCATCATCACTTTCAGATTATAAAACCTAGTATAAATTGAAGCATTCTCTATTCCCTTTACCTCTCCATTTCCTCCCCCCCACCCCTGCAAAAAAAGAACAGAGTTGTCCAATGGCTGGAAGCAGACACAAAGACCTCACAAGTTTCTAAACACAGTTGCTTTTATATTTTGATGGTACAAAAAAAACAAAGCTCTAGACAAAGTAACAAACATCATTATTTTCCTACCTTAGTTTCCTCCCACTCTAATTAAGCATTCCTAAATGCAGAGGATCCCTGCTTTCCCTTCCTGTCTGTGGGATTTTTTGTTCAATTCTTTTTTTCTAATTTAGGTAACTGCCCTGCAGACTATTTCCTTCATTAGCTGTGCCCAACAGGGAGACAAGAGCCATTCTGGTA